CCCGCCTGCCGTGCACCCCCGCTAGGGATGCAAACGGTTAACCGTAAGCACTGGGCTATGGGGCCGCTTTCCCTGGGAACGGGTTGGACGGCAGCACGTGCCGGGTTGGAGCAGCTCTGGCTGAGTGTGTCCAGCTGCAAGGGGGCAGCAGGCATGACCCCCCCTCTCCCCCGGGCCATGCCAGGTGGGACCTTGTCCATGCTGGTAGACTCCTGGCCCCGGGCCGGCTGCCTGGGCAGGTAGGCCGACAGGAGTCCCATCTTGGCGGGCAGGTGGGTTCCTAGCTGTGCTGTTGTGGGCTGGTGGAATTTTGGTCCCAGCCATGCTGGACAGGCCGGTGGGACCCGGGTCCTGGCCGCAGTAGGCCATCCGGGAGGACTCCAGACCCTCTAACATGGCCCAGGAGGGCAGGCAGGAATCCAGCCCTGGCTGCTGCTTGCCAATTAAATGGTATAATTTTCCATTTAACTGGTTAGCATTTTAATGATTGTTTACATCCCTAACCTACACACTGAGCTATAGACAGTGACTCCCCATGATGGTGTGAATTTCACCCCCAGCTCAAGCTAGGATAGACCCCCCTCCTCCAAGAGTGGCATGAATAGGACCAAAAACCAAGCTACAATGTCCCCTCTCCGGGCAGTGTGGACCCCTCCCCCGGTCCCACAGAGCTGTAGTGGCTCCCCTTTCTCTAGAGCAGCATAGAGCTTATCCCAAAACCAAGCTACAGTCTCATGCTTATCCCCTAAGGAAGAATGGATCTTACCCTCAAACTGAAGTAGTGTGCTTCCACCCTACTAAGGCATGGTGGGGCTTACCCCCCACCCAAGCAATCATGCTGCCTGGTGGGCTTGGACACTGTAGCTTGATATGGGGGTATCAGGATATTTTCATCCTTGCTGCCCCACAATCTTGGCTCATGAGGGAGAGAGGGGGCAAGAGCTGCATGTAGCTTTTCCCCCCGGAGGGGAAAGATGCTGCAAGTGTGGTTCCCCAGTCTTCCCTCCCACACCCAGTCCCTGTGATTTTGGGTAGGGAGGAGATGTGAAGGGGGGCAGAGTGGTTCTCTTCTTTTTTTTTTTTTAACTCTTCCTGCATACACACACAATCCCTGATTGGGTGATTTCTGGGAGAATGAGACTGCAGTGTTTTCCTCACTTTGCCCATCGTTGACTGGTTTATGGGGAAAAGAGGAGGGTGCAGCTTGTCCCACTCCTTCAAATTTAAATGATCCAGAGAGAGGAGGCTGCACTGTTCCTTCTTTCCTGTCTGTTCCCAGCAGAGTGATCTGGTGAGGGATTCTTCTCCATCCACTCACCCAGAGTAGGATCTTCTACACGACAAAATGATCTTGTGGTGTTAGGAAGCCATAGTGTCTGTTTCCTTCTCAATCTGCAAGGCATATAATCCCCTCTCTTCTCTTAACCAGTACATTTCCTGAAGTGTGATGAACCTGGGGGTGGGGCAACTACTGTAGTATCCCCACTCTTAAAGACAAGGCAGCCTCTAGAGAAGATGGGGGCCTCAGTGTCTCTCTTCCCCCATATGATGTCGATTGGGAAATGTGCATTCAGATTTCTGTTTGTCTTTAGGGTTTTCTCCTGCATCTTGTCACTGTGGTGGCTGAGCACCATCCATATAAAAATCAATAGCAAAGACTTGAGTGGACTTTGTAATCAAGTATGATAGATTGGTGTCTGCAGAACAGACAGAGAATGTTTCTTCTTCTTATACTTGATATTTGCTTTTCCAGTTGTCTTTTTAAAAGATACACTTTATTTAATTCCCAGATTTCTTAGTTAAAACAGCTTTTGCTGAACTTGATGAATTGTAATATAAGTGTTCCATGATTCAGGTGTTTGTGAAATATCAGTAGGTTTGGAGCCTGGGAAGTGTGTCAGTGCAAGTGGGGAGAATAGATTATTCGAGTCAGCTTCTACCATGGAGCACAGAGGAATTAATTTTTCCAAAAACGACCTTGTGAGCTCCATGTTCTAGACTTTCAGATTTGTTGAGCAGATTCTAAACTGGTAACTGCTTTGTGTAGAAAATAGTATACAGGATTTACTCAGACTTGCTGGTTATTTCTCTTACCTGTGACCTGCAATGTAATTGAAAGAGTCCCAGTGAATGCAGAGAACTGCTAATCTAGGACCCTCATGCCTGTTTTTGTGTGTGCGTGTGCGTGCCTTGAAGAAGGTCTGTCTTTAGTTGTCCAAGCTTTGGGAAATACTAAACTTAATGGAATCATGGTCAAATCTTAGTAGCATTAACAACTCAGGCCTTTATCTCTCCAGATGTAGAAAACAATTCTGAGCAAGCAGATTGGATAAGAATCTTTCAAATATGTCCTAAAAAATTGAAGTGCTATCTACTCTGTGTGTATCTTAAATATCCCAAAGCACGTCTCTTAAGAAATTAGGTTTGAGTTTTTGTTCTTGACCGACATTTCCCCTCACCCTGTGGTTTGCTGTGTGCTAATTGCTTATTGCCTTCCTCTCTCAAGGTAGCTGGGTTTCAGCTGTGCAGTATTTACAGAGCTGTAAAACATTCAGAGATGGGAGTGTATAGAAATGCAAAATATTTATTCAGTTGACTTTTCACTTCTTTTCCAACATAGGTTCTTGTGTTCAGGGTCCTTGCCTTAGGTTTATTGTGCATCTTGGATTGTAAAATCTACAGGGCAGGAATGTTTGTTAAGCACTGTGTTAATGAACAGTGATAGAGTATTTGAGGGTTTGTTGTCATTACTGGCCAGAGTGACAGGGCATTGATCGATCCAGTGGGAGTTAATTTATGAAGTAAATAAATCAACCTCTGATCACTCTCCTGTCAGCTATGATATTCCACCTCAAAGAAGTGTAAGGGAAGTTGATGGTAGAGCGTCTCTTGTCGATGCACTGCAGAGAAGACACCGTGGTAAGTAAGTATAAGTTAGTTGACTTTAGCTACACTGTTCACGTAGCTGAAGTTGCATACCTTAGATCGATTTCCCCTCCCCTCCCACACACACACACAAAGTGTAGACCAGGCCTTGTTCATAAACTTAGTAACATGTATTTTTTTTTATTGATGGAACTTTTTGAGGGATACAACATTTTGGAAAGCAACCTGCTCATTTCTCTTTAATGCAAAGTGAATATATTAATGTTTTCAGTAAAGGAACAAAGTCACAATTCTGCTTGGGAAACAGTTCAGGTTGTCTTCTCAAACATCCCTCTCCAGATGACTGTAGGAATCCCTGGTCAAAGGGATTTGTGCCTTTTGTATCTGGTTAACTGGTATATCCTGACCTTAACAGAGATACTGCTGACATCATGAACTGGAACAAAGGTGGACCTGGTACCAAAAGAGGCTTTGGTTTTGGAGGATTTGCCATAACCCCTGGAAAGAAAGAAGAACCAAAACTCCCTCAGCAGTCCCATAGTGCTTTTGGAGCAGCTGGCTCTTCAGCTGCATTTGGAAAGTCAGCACCACCTCAGCTCCCTTCTTTCTACAAAATTGGGTCAAAACGAGCCAACTTTGATGAGGAGAATGCGTAAGCTATGCTACTTTCTTTTGTGTATTCTGTTCTAGGTTTGGTTGTTTTAGAGATTTCAGGGAGCAAATTTCGTTGATGGAAACTAACAAGCAGAGAAGTTACAAATTCTCTTAGCCTGGGTTTTTTTCTATTTGAAAAGGAAATAATATCCATGGGAGATGTTTGTGAAACTTATTTTAATTACCGTATATTCCGGCGTACAAGATGACTTTTTATGTTAAAAAACATCCCCCAAAAATCAGGGGTTGTCTTGTACGCCGGGTATACATCCCATATACACCCCAGGCGCGCCTGGGATGCCCTGCCACCGGCTTCCCCTGAGGCTTTGCAAAGCTGCGGAGGGGCTCCGGTGCCGGGACATCCCAGGCGCGCCTGGGCTGCCCCCCCTGCCGGCTTCCCCCGAGGGAAATCATAGAGCTGGAAGAGACCTCAAGAGGTCATCAAGTCCAGCCCCCTGCCCAAGGCAGGACCAATCCAGCTTAAGCATCCCTGCTGACTACGGCTGTGGCAGGATGATATGGGGAGAGCAGTGAACTCTCAAGTAGGCCAGTCCCAGGCTACTTAGGGCTTTATAGATCAGAACCAACACCCGAAATTCCAGTCAGCCAGTGCAGTTCCGGGAGTACAGCTGTCGCATATTCCGAGCAAGATGGCCGATTCAGTAAGGGAGCCACTGCATTCTGCACCCACCGCAGTCTCTCAATAGTTTTAAGGTTAAGCCTTTGTGGTAGTCTTATCTGGAGGTGATGATAATGTAGATGACAGTGGCAAAGTCTCTATCTGGAATGAAAAGTGTCAACTCTTATCCATATGCATGTGGTAAAAAACTGACTGACATCTAGGGGTCTAAAATCACCCCCAAGTTACAAACCCTAACAGTTGATGGTTGGTATACTCCTCAATCAAATGGTCTGAAGTTGACTTTTCTATCAAAGAAAGGATTGTCCAGTACTTAGAGCTCTAGACTGGGGCTATGTCTAGACAACATTCCTATTTCGAAAGAGGAATGTAGTCTAGACATAGCCTGGGACTTTTTGGAGACCCAGGTTCAGTTCTCTGCTCTGGCACAGGCTTCCTGTTTGGCCTTTGGCAAATCATTTATTCTCTTTGTCACGGTTTGTCTGTAGAACATATTTAAACATTAAAAATATGTGAGGTTGTCAGACACTGTAGTGGTTGAGGAGGGTAACAGAATGGTGCCCTGTAGCAGGAGCTGGCTCTGGAGTGGGTTTGGGAAGAGTAACAGTTGATCACAGCTGCCTGTCTTACTTCAGCTATGAGCTCAATGCATTCATACCTGTAACACACTTCAAAGTCTTGTAATAGAAAGAACTAGATGAGTATAATGTTTTGTTATTCAATCCAGTCAGTTATACAGAGACTCAAATCAATGGCTTTACAAATAGAAGTCCTGCAAGACTACTGCATGACATGGTATAGCCATGTGCTGACTTGGTCCATTACTATGTTTTAAATTGCTCTCTTTTACTTATCAGATACTTCGAGGATGAAGAGGAAGATTCCAGCAATGTTGATTTGCCATACATTCCTGCAGAGAATTCACCCACTCGCCAGCAGTTTAATTCCAAATCTGCAGACTCTGACAGTGAAGATGATCCCTTGGAAGCATTCATGGCTGAAGTGGAGGCAAGCCCCAACTCATTAAGTGTTTATGAATTTAGATGTTAAAATCTTCTCCAGTCAGGAGTAGGGATGTGAATGTGTACGCATGCACACAGTTAACTGATGAGCTGATAGAGGCAGTAGTGCAGGTGGTGGGGGCGAGCAGGCGGGATCCAATGCACATGGGGAGCCGGCTCCCGCCAAGCCACCTACCTCCCACTCTCCACTCCTACCTCTGTATCTTGCCTGCATCCCTGTTCCCCCGCCCTCCTCTCCCTCCCGCATGTAAACATGTAATTGCTGAAAAATTCAGCAGTTACATGTTTACAAAAATAAACACATTTTAACATCCCTAATCAGGAGCCAGAAACCTAACCAAATATACAATAGTTTAAGGGTTGTATTAGTATTCTTCAATGTGCTATTCACAGTAATATTGCTAACTGTTGATACAGCTACGGCTGTACTTGGTATATTAGAGTCTTCATGAGAATTTTTGTTATAATCCCAAAATATGTAAAAACCATTTGAGTGACTAAAGCCAAAATAAAATTTTCTATAAGACTCATAGAAATGTTAGTTTGGAAGGGACCGCTGGAGGTGCAATATACTGCACTGAGGAAATACAAAATTACACCTAGACCAGTATTTCTCAACCAGTGGTATGAGCATCCTTAGGGGTACTTAAGAGCAGTTGGTGGGGGGGTACGTCCACACAACTAAAATTTGGAGAAAACTGAATTTTTGTGTTAAGTTTTACAGTGCTTTATTATTTTTGTACTTTATATACCCACAAATTTCATCACCTGCCTGGCTATGATTAAGTTGTTTAAACCAATGTGTTGCAATGGTAGGGGGAAAAAAATGGTGTGTCTGAAAACTGTAGGTACTGGGGGGTACTTACATACTTTATTTATTTTTGAAAAAGGGGTACTTTAAAAAAAAAAAAAAATAAGGTTGAGAAACACTGACCTAGACCATCCCTGATTTCTCTCACCTATTAATAAAAACCTCCAGTGACGTGGATTTCACAATTTCTCTTGGGAAGCCTATTGTGGTGCTTAACTATACTTTTAGGGCTTGTCAGCGCTGCTGTGGTCGATCTGGAGTTCGATTGAGCGGGTCTAGTCAAGACCTGCTAAATTGAACTAATTGCCCCTGTCAATGTTGGTACTCCTGCTTCTCGTGAGGAGTAAGGGAAGCTGACGGGAACGTTTGCTCCCATCAATGTCCCACAGTGGGAATGTCGCAGAAACTCTAAGGTGTGTCAACTTCAGTTATGTAATTAACAGCTGGAGTTATGTATCTTAATTCGACTTTTCCCTGTAGTGTAGACCTGGCCTTAGTTTTTCCTGTTATCCAATGTAAATCTAACTATCTTGCTGCAGATTAGGCCCATTATTTCTTGTCCTATTTTCAGTGGACTTGAAGAACAATTCATCCCAGTTCTCTTTGTAACATCCCTTAACATACTTGAAGATTATCAGGTCCCTCCTCAATCTTCTTTTCTCATGACTAAACATTCCCTGTTGTTTTTTAAACTTTCCTCATAGGTCAGGTTTTCTATAACTTTTATTAGGGATGTGAATGGTTAACCGGTAGGGGCTGGAGCAACTGGCCTAGCTCCCCTGCCCCCGGAGGCAGGGGCTGCTCCAACCAGCCAGAGCAGCCCTTGTCCACAACAGCTAGAAACTCCCAAGGAATTAGTCAGTGGTGTGATATGGTTAACATAATAGGTCATGGAATGAGAGACTGTTGAATCCCAAAAGTGTTGTCTCTGTGGCATGATGGAATGACCTACCTCTTATTTAATTCATTCCTATTACAATATGACAGAGTTTCCCCCTTCAGATTTATCATGTTTTGTAAGGTCATTCATTCCTTTGTATAAACTTTGCAATAAGGAATTTTCCTTTCCAAGCCTTATCCTTGCTGTTGATTATGTGATATGACTCTGTGTCCTTTTAGGATCAAGCAGCTCGAGACATGAAGAGACTTGAAGAAAAAGACAAGGAAAGAAAGAATTTAAAGTAAGCTCTCTTCAGTATCTCTCATATTCTGTTTTGTAAGGGTGGTTAGAGCATTTCAAGGCTTTTAAAAACCATCTTCTCCATATTACATTATACTTAATTGGTTCATTGGATCCATGTAATTTACATATAGTGAATAATCAGAGCATGGAATCTAAAGTTCTGTGCACTAAAATAGCATCAGGTGGTAGATAGGCAGAACCCTTTGAGGCACCGCAAAACAAAACATTAAAAGATTCACATATAAGAAAACAAAACATGCTTTTATTTTATTTGGGAAGGATCACTGACAACTTTTCTTCCCTCCCTGCACTAAAAAGTCCCTCCACAGAAGCTCAGTAAAACAAAGTAGAGAGCTCTACAGAACCAGTCACTGCCTTCCTGCGCATTATCCAAAGAAAATTGTTCCCAAGTGTGGTTCAGGTACACCTTGCTCAGCAATCCCTGGCCATGGAAATCTTGAGACTGAGAGATTAAACTGAGATCCCCTGCATGGCAATGCATTACATTGCTACTAAATTTCCAGAATGGCCCAGATCAAACTCTTTGTTCTCCGGTGATTAGGAATATTTGGTTTTGTCTAAACCATATTTATTGGAGTAGATGGCTGCTTCAGGATCATCTGGTGAAAGAACCTGTTGCAGTACAGACAAATTTAGAAATATACAAACAAAACCTTGTAATACATATTGAGATTCTTCCAAACCTAGTTCAGAGGTTAAGAACAGTGCTCTTTACTGCTCCCTGCAATTGAGAAATTTTGAGCTCAGGATCAGAAGGAGATTTACATGTGGGTAGCTTGCCTGTCTATCTTGATTAGATGAAATAACTATGTACTATTGTTACTTACTGTGAAAGGGATCACGTGTTAATGTAGACTGTATTGCACAGAGTTTGCTCAGAACACTGAATCCAAACTGCCACTGACTTTGGGGAAGCTCTGAACTGGATTCTTCCTGCTCCTGTCTCTTTCCAGTTATGGGGCTTGTAATAACCTCTTTTGGTAACACCAGGGACTTAAACCAAAATGCTCACTTTTCAGAAACTTTCACAGTAGAATCCACATCAGTAAAATTCCTAATCTGCAGCCATGTTTGTGGAAGTAAAATTAAGCTTGTGCAAAATTATGCATTATGAAAACTCCTGTGGGTTGGGATTATACACTGATTTAATTGCTGCTTGATATTGTTAGTGTTGTGTCTTCCACTAAAGTAGCTCAGCACTAATCAAGTGAAAGTACAGAGCTGGGTATGTGGAACATTTGCAGGGAAGTTTGTTTCTCCGCTTGTTTTTCCAGGGGTATTCGAGATGACATTGAAGAGGAAGATGACCAAGTGAGTTCCTATGCAGTCTTTCTATCTATTTTATCCCCTGCAAATTTAGCTACTTAGGTATAAGGAAAACTTGAATAGCATTTTAATTAATCCTGGTAGTTCATCAAGAGAGTCTAGTAGTTTCCCTTTTGTCCCTGTCTTTCCAGATGCTTCAGAAAAGAAATAAAGAATATTAGGAGAAAAACTGTCACAGTTCCTTACTTGTAGGTTAGAGGATCTTTCAGCTGATTAAATTTAAAATACACACATGGAGTTTTCAATACATCTGGGTCTCATCTAAAGTAATTATAGTAATATCTTTTGTTTATATTGGTTC